TTTGCAGATGGATATTTTATATTTAGCAGCCTCTAATGTATCAATTTGGGCTTTGATTTTTCATGGGGAGCAGCTTCTATTCTGGTGCTCAGTAGCGGGCGGGCAAACTGCCATCACAAGAGAACCCCAACATGACAAACCCTGAGCCTCTGGGGAAGGCAGGAGAAGGCTCCAGGCATGGGGTGGTTGTTGGGGAAGGGTTTGCTGGTGGTCCGGAGCTTGTTTGAAGAGTAGTGGGAGCACTCAGGGAGTTGGAGTAGTGCAGGAGCAGTGGGGCCAGGCAATTAATTAAGCTTGTAGAGGATGAGAGCTGGAGGTGTGTGGCTTTGTGGGAGGCTTTTTTTGGGGTGACTGGTGTAGGGTATGGAGGGATGTTATGGGGAAAAGGAGAAGTGTTCAGGTTGGGCAAGCTCCACTGTGCATCTCACGCTCTTTGTTTTCCATGGGAGACATAGGGATAGGTTGGGACGTGCCAACTGGATGGCAAGGGCTGGACAGGAGGTGGTCGTTCTGGGTGATGCCAAATGGCACATCCCAGGTCCCCCCTGTCCATGGGGTGCTGAGATGGCGTGGTGATGTTGTGGGGCCTCTGGGTGCCGGGATGGATGGGAGAGATGGGAGAAGGGACACCACATGTGCCTTGGGAATGAAGGCAAAGTGCATCCTGCCCTCCACAGTAAGAACAACGGTCAGGGCTGGCAGTGCTGCATGGAGCTGTGGTGTGAGACCCACCCTCACACGCCACAGGGTCCGTGGTACCCACGGCTGATGTGAGGGTTTCCATCGCCGGGGGAGGATTAGAGGAGCCGCCGTGTTTGGATGGCCCGCTTCTCATTTGCATCTTTAACGAAGCGGGAGCCCAGCCAGGTTCTGTTCTTTTGTGTTTACTTCTGAGGAAGTGTGTTTATTTCTGATGATTACAAATAAATCTCTTCTGCCTTTGCTCCAGCCGCTCGGAATAAAAGGCGCTCGGAGCCTGTTAACTCTGTAGCTGGGGCGAGGACTAGAGGCAAAGGAGAAATCCCATTAGGAGCCCCTGCAAATGTAATTAACAGTTTCTTCTCAAAGACAAGGGTGGCAGGGTGTTTGCTCTGCCCTTGTGACAGGTACTTTTGGTTGGAAACTTCCCAGGGTGAAGCACCTCCCTGTTTGCTGGCGAGGGCCTTTGCTCCCGATCCGGGCGAGCTATTTTAGCTGCCAAAAACTGGGTCAGCCGGCCAGTTTGTGACTGTTTTTGGCACCTCTATTTGTCATTTTGACGAGGCGTGTTGCCTGCAGGAGAGAAAAGTGGTTTGGGGTTGAAGTGCCATAGAAGTACTTAAAAGTAGAGTGCTGTTTGTTTGCATAAGAAAACGGATGGGGCTTGAGTCCATCCAAAGATGAGCAACTTCCCTGAGCCTCTCAGCTCGGCTGGGGACCGACAGTCTTGGCTCTGAGGAGGCAGCAGTGTTTCAGAGTCCCCAGCATCCCATCCTAGGGGATATTTTGCACCCATGGGGAGGAGTTTGCCAGACTTGCTTTATGCCTCCAAATTTTGTATGCCATTTATCCCTCCGAAGTGGTGCCATAAAACTTGTGCCAACCCTGGGCACATCTTTCCCTCACTGCTGGGCCGGCATTGAAGGCAGCACCAATCTGAAGCCTCAGGCTCGGCCCTTGTGCTCAGCCAGGTCAGCAGCACGGGGAAGGACCACGATGTGGACCAGGAAAGGTGGTGGATGAAGGCAGCGGGTGTTCTGTCACATCCCACATGCAGGAGAAGTGCTGTCAGTGTCATTGATGGGCTCAGGCAGGAGCCTGCCGTGGGAGCGACGCGGGGGTCTCTCCTAATAGCTCCGGGAGGAGGGGAACGGTCACTTTGTGCTGCCACACACACAGAGCACGCTGGTGGAGTTATCTGTATTGTTGACACTAAGTGAAATAATTCCTCGGCAAACTTGAAAATTAGCATTTAAGGATGAGGAATAGGGGCAAGTAGAGGGAATGCGGCACAGCGCCGCAGCCCCCAGCTCCCTCCCTCATGCATCTTCTGGCACCACTGTGCTCGGGGTCATCGCCCGAGAGACCCTGCTGGGAGTGAGTGCTGGGGGGGCGGAGCTCGGGCCAAGGCCAGCGCTTGTGGCTCCCAGGCACACTGCTCTGGCAGAGAGAGGGCATGGTGGGAGGTAGTTGAAGGGCTGGAGGTGGTGAAAAGTCTCTGCTGGAAGGCAGTGAGGGTCTAAGTGGGATGATGAGATGGAGGAGCAGATGGGATGGGTTGTGTCATGTGGAGAAAGAGAGGAGCCAGGACAAGGTAGGTGCTGGGGGCTCAGGTTTGGGCCCACAATATTGGTTCTGAGATATTCCCCCTGCCTCGTGGATGGGTTTTCTTCAGGTGAACCAAGGAGCCGGGACGGGCTTATTTCCCACCTGCTTGACAGGTGCTTTATTGCCTTTTGTCCCTTCCGGACTCACAAGGCAGGGTTTCTTCTGGAGATGGATACCGTGCCTTCAGGAGACTGTTAATGGGGGTTTGTCTTTGTTCTTAATTAGATCCCTTCAAGGGAAAACCTCCTGGCCTGCTTTATTATCCAGCTTTGTCAGAGCTTGTCTGCTTTATCTAAACACTTTGCAGAAGTCTCTTTACCTGTTTGCTTACTGAAGACATTATCATAATCCTGGTCAATTGGAAATAGGTAGCAAAGGCAGCTCGGCAGATGAGGGAGCACGCGGCTCAGCAGCTATTGGAGATCGCTTCTGGAGCTGGGTAGAGGAGCTGGCGGGATGCTCCTTGCCTTGGGGTGTCAGCTGGCATTTGTCTTCGAAGCGCTGATTCCCTGGGTGCAGGAGGACTCATGATGGGAGGGTGAGGTCGTGTGAGAAGGTGCCTCCAGAAACACCTCACTCTCCACAGAAGCTGATGTACAGTGGCTTTTCTGCTGGTGGTTGCTCTGACGTGTTGCTGAGATGTGCAGGAGGGCTGGTTTCTGGAGGAGGGTGGTTGGTCTGGTCCCTCTCCACCTATGTACAGCCTGGGCTACAGTGCAGAGGATTGTGATGCTAAGCAAGCAGAGCCAAAGGGAGTTGGTCGCAAATTAGCTGTTGAGTGGCAGCGAGTGAAGAGTGAGTTCAAGGGGCAGGGATAAGGAATCTTTGCCTTCTTGATCTTGGCCTCAGTCTCAAAATTTCTCCTGCTCATTTGCTTTTGAGGGTGGCACTGGTTAGCAAACGCTATGGGCAAAGAGGAGCAAAGCTGCTGTCCTTGTCCTTCCTTGCCAGAGCATGCCTGCCCATCTTGTGGCCGTCTGGTGCCCTTGTGCAGTTGGGCTCAGAGCTGTCAATCCAAGCTGTGAATGCAGAATGAGTGGTGCCAGTGCTCAGGGTTCTCACCTGGCCCCAAATCTCCCTGGGAAGCACCCCCGGTACGTGCCAGCTGAAACCAGGCAGTGGCGGCGGAATGGGACAAATGACAGCGCGAGCTCCTTGTCCCTGTCACTTCAAACCCTAGTCCTTGTGCTTCACCCCTAATGAGGGGACCCAAGAGTACCTCGCAGGGCTGTAGTCTGGATATTTCTACGAGCGCAGACATGCAAGTTGTCTGTTTTACATATTGCTGCCCTGATTTTTCAGCGCACGCAATGAATAATTTACAGAAGCCGTGTGTAAGTATCTCTTTATTATTCATTATAATGAAGTGAGACAGCAGTAATAGTCCACTAGACTGGAATCCCCCAGGGCCGAACTTAACTCGGCTGCGCTTAGCTCTCCCCCAGTTAATTTGAACGGAGGGAGGACTCGGATTCCTGACGAGGACGCCGCCGCGTGCTGGCACGAGGACGCCCCGGTCCGGTGGAGCCGCGCCAGGCACAGAGCCACCCGTCTTCCTGGGCAGTGACAGACAGCTCCTGCAAGGGGAAGGGACTCGTTTTGGGGAGGATAGATGGCTCGTTCCTCTGAGCTGACTGCCTGGGGGTACCCTCCCACACACTGAGCATCGCCCCTTCCCTCTGCCCAATTTATAATCTCCATTGATGCTCTGCGAGCCCAGCGAGGGAGGCATATAACACCCCAAAGCCTCCACGAGAGAGGGGATGGGGACAGGGACAGCCAACAGCCCGTCTCGGAATTTATAGGCATGCAGAGAGGGACTCAATTGACTGTTGGTGCCTTTTCCTTAGGTCTTGGCTGCCCAGGGCAGCAGCAGCACTGCCACCACCAGCACAAGCTCGTTTCAGGCTTGGTTATCCCGGTTTGCTGTCATGCTGAGAGAAAGCTCCCCTATGGTGGTCCTCCTCTGGGAAAGGTGAAGCTCCCAAGAAATGCCAGGCACTTAATTTAGTCAAATGCTTGGCGGTTTGTTGCCAAGGGAAGGCCACAAGTAAATACATTGAGAAAATTTATCAAATGGACTGAAAAAAAACCATATTCTCTGGGAACACTGCAATTCCCTCCCCCCTCCCCACTCGTCCCTCTGTTCTTTGGTGAGCGTAAGTCAGTGCCGCGAGCGGAGCCGCCGAGCCCTCGCGCGTCGCGGAGCGGGGAGGGCGGGAGCCAGGCAGGGGATAAATAACGGCAACGGCCGCGCTGTGCTTTCAAGGCACTCGTAGGATTTACAGCTGCTTATCCAAATGTTCCCTTCTCCTCCCCGTGCACCGGCTTCGTCGTCTCC